TCCAATTTGGCCCATAGTTCTCGAGTCGAGGAAACTCCAACAGTGTAGGGAATTAGGGATTCAGAGAGAGTTGAGTTGATCCAGATGAGGATGTTTTGATCGTTCTCGTACCAGGCAACATACGCCGGATTGAGATTGCGAGTGTCGGAGGAATCAATGAGAAATTGAGGCAGCGCCACCATAAATCTATCAATTAGCCCTGTGAGATTGTATCGACGAAAAATGGGAGTGAAGAGAGCATTCTATGTCAGGTAATTGGTAGTGGTGAGCTTAATCGGAACCATAGATCCGATGTTTTGGATCGTAATGGAAGAATTAGGGTTTAAAGATGCAGTCGGTGGAAATGTTTGAGAATCTGATGCTGAGGAGGGAGATGTCGCCATGATTAGAGATACAGATAGCAGAGGGAAAGACGATTAAGAATGAAGATACTCAAGATCAGAGACGATCAAGATCGAGATCGAAGAGAGTCGATCGGCAAGAAGATACAGAGAAAGGCAGAGAAACGAGAAGATTTGGGATCGAAAAAAAAAAGGTCGTGAGACTTAGGTGGGTGATACCATGTTTGGAAATTATATTTTCTTTTCACAAAAGAATAAGATTACAATCTGAGTATATATATATATATATATATATATATATATATATATAAGTTGTGAGGCTAACAAAATCATAACAACTTTCTAACTAAGAGAAAACTAATCATAGCAAATTAACAGTTTTCCTTAGCCTATAAGTATTATCCCTAGAAGATGAATTTACAATATGCCTAATACCTCGAAGGAAAGTTACTTGCTTTTTAGAATATGAACCATATAACTTAATCAATTTGACATTGCAAAAGAGCCACACCAATGGGCAACTTCTACCTTCCTAGCTTGGGAAATGAGTCCTGAAACATTACAAGCCAATGTGGGGATGTTTACAACAAACATGGCAAAAAATATTGGGTTTTCAATAACTTTTATTCATTTGAGCAGAAATAAATGATCTATTTCGCTTGATAAATTTCAGTAGAAGTACTCTTATTAGGGTGTAAATATGTGGATACTCCTATGGTAGAAAAACATCACTTGGGTATTTACCCAAATTAGGTTCCTATTGATAGAGGTAGATATCAAAGACTTGTGGGGAGGTTAATTTATTTATCTCATCGTCCTAATATTGCATATGTTGTGTGTTGTAAGTTAGTTTATGCACTCGTCTAGTGAAGATCATATAGCTGCGGTGGTACGAATTTTGGCATATCTGAAGTCTGCACCCAATAAAGAAATACTTCATGAAAAATGTAACAACCCGTCTCGGGATTTACGGAAGAAAAAGACTATTTTTGTATTTTCACTAAGTTTGGGGATACTTTTCTTTTTAAAATTGTTTTTGGGTCTTAAATGGTGTGCCCAAGGGGCCCACCCCCTGATTCTGTCCCCTCGAGCCTCTCATCTCTTTCTTCTCTCTCAGTTCTCTCTTCTCTCATTTCCCCTGACCTCTCTCCCTCACCCATTCTCTTTGTCTTTCTTTCCCTCCCTCCAAGCAGATCACACCCACACACACACACACACCAACAAACCCTCATCTCCCTTATCATCAAACACCACAACAACAACAAAACATCACCATCATCACCACGTTAGCTCTCTCTCTCTTCGTCTTTGTGGAGCACAAAGAAACTCCGGCGAGTTCCTTGTCCTTCCATTTTGGGTAAGCCTCAAAACACTCCAAATGCTTCTCTCTTTATCCCTATAATTCTTTTCTAACCCCGTGGTTGTGTTTTGGACGTCAAACCACGAAGAAACCACCTCGGAGACATTTCCCCAGTTTTCCCGACGAGCACCACTCCTTTCAAGGAAATTTCCAGCCAAACCATGGTGAGTTGGCCGGTATGCAAAGTATCAATCTCTTTGTCACGTCGAGTACTACAACTTTCCTTTTTGTTTCACCCAATTTCGTTGAGTATTGAATAAGTTATACTCATTTGAATCTTAACCAGTTTCCGGCGGACACCCATGGCTTCCAGGTTGTTTTTCGACCAACTTCGGCCACGATGATGGAAACCAAGGGTATATTTCGATTCCTTACCTTCGGGGCTTCAATTTGGTATATTGAATGACATGTTTTGGTTGAGTTTTGAGCTCCATCAGAGCTTGGAAATCCTCCAGCCGAAATCCGGCCTTTTCCTTCCTTGGAATCCGGTGACCCACCAAACCCAAGGCCTTTGGGCCTTTCCTGCCGAGCCCAATCCAAACCCATTTCCTTTTTATTTTAATTTAGTTAAATTGTTTTAAATCAAATAGGGCCATTTGGGCCATTTTCTGTTAAGGGCTTGAGCCCGATCACTCTAAACCTTTTCAAAACAGGCCTTCGGGCCTTGGGAAAACTAGGGCCTTCGGTCCGTTAACCCTAAACCCTTCTAAGCCCAAACCTTTAAACCCTAAACCCTTTGTGACCCAGCCCAATCCTTTTTAAAACCCAAACCCAAGTCCAAACCCTTTAGGCCCAACCCGGATCCAACCCTAAGCCCAAACCCGGTTGACCTGGTTTGACCCGTTGACCTGGACCGCTGACCGTTGACCGCGTTGACTTTACTTTGACCGGTCAATGGTCACCGTTGACTTTTGGGTTAACTTTTCAGGTTTTCGTCCAAGACCCTCCTAGGCTAATTTCGACATCCTGAACCCGATTCCGATGTCCGTTTTCCCAAATTCAGTCGTTTGAGTAAAGTTTGACTAAATGTACCATTTATGTGCTTAGGGGCGATTATCTGTGGCTTTTCCTTCTTCGCTAGATGGCGTTGCTTTTCGACGGCGAAGTACTGTGAGTGGACCCCTTTTAAAAATGCATGTTTTGATAGTAGAAATGCATACATGAAAAGCATGATTTGATGATTATGTTTTATGAAACGTTTTACGAGATAACATGCTTACTGAGGCTAGTTTGAATTATTACTATTTTTCCTATAACCCATGTTCTTATAGAATATCTGATGGATGACGATATGATATTTAGAACATGTTTAGAACACCTCTTTATAGTATAGATGATGGATGACTTTATACTATGAAGTTCATTTTCAATATATGTATGTTCACTGGTTTTGTACTTACCTAGTGGTCCTTTCCGCTACGGGACGTAAGGATAGATTCCGATCCGTCCCGAGCGACAGTTCGGTGTTGGCATAGGGCCTGGAGTGTGTTTCCTCTGGCTATTTAGCACAGGGACGGGGAGCCAGCATGGGGCCTAAAGTGTATTTTCCTCTGACTGTTTGCTCAAAGACGGGGAGCCGGCATAGGGCCTGAAGAGTTATCGGACATTCACTAGTGATTATTATATATACAAGTTTTGATTTGAGACATTGCACGACATGCTAGGTTTCAGAAAACCTGGGGGTTAGTATGTTGATAACTGTTTTAGTGTATATATATATATATATATATATATATATATCAACTTGGTCCACTCATATTTGTTTTGTGCCCCCTTCAGGACTTAGAATCGAGGCGTACAATCCCGACATCAAGGCACTTACGCATCGGCATCTTCGAGACCTCTTGGTGTAGGATCCATTCTTTTATTCATTCAATTTTATATTATTTCTTTTAGTGTTCTAGTTAGTTGTATGCTCTGAACACGTTCCTTAAATACATATTAATTATTCTTTTATATTAAACCTCATATACCCCTTGTTTTCAGCATTTGCACTCAATAAATGGCTCTCGTCACCCTCGGGTGTCGGCCAGCACGTGCCTATCCCGGTATTCGGGGAATATCGGGACCGAGGCGTGTCAGAAAAACGTTTGCGAAATTATGGCATACCTGAAGTCTGCATCCAGTCTAGGCTACCATACAAGCCCTTAAGGTTCACATGACAATGGAATAACGTTTGCGAAATTATTTCTTAAGGTTCAAGTGGTGATGATTGCTAAAGTTAACATGATTGTGAAATTGTTTTAGAATACTTTTAAATTGATTAAAACATTCTTTCACATAAGAGGCGAGTCAGGTGACAAATATTTGGTAGGGCCAACCAATACATACGAGTTTTATCTCTATTAGAAAGACAGTACACATGCGTGATAAGTAATTTGAAAACAAACACGTTTGGCTTAGCCAAGAAAAGAAGAAAACCTTAATTGTGGAAGAGCCTTCCAGGATAGGTGGACGTCTCCCAACATGCAATCCACTATTGAATTTTGTGGCTTAATTCTATTCGGGCCTTCGGTTTTGTCTTAAAGCCCATATTGTTTTGGTCTTTTAGCTACTTATGTGAAGGCCCATGTGATGGCTAGGGTTTAATTAGGCTAGGGTTGTAAGACGAGGTATGTCAAATCTCGTGGAACATCTCGAAGAGCCTCCCATGTTGTTCATAGAGGATCTCATTCCTGATTACTATTTGTTGTTCTGAGCTTTCAACTCCTCGACCTTAGCTTGAAGAGCAACTTTTTTTCTTTCCTTCAGTCACTGCCTCACGCTAGACACGAGAGAGGTGTCGTTCTGGGTGTTATGGCTTCCTTGGCTCCCCATGCTGGAGAGGGGTACCTGATCAAAGAAGAGCGTCCAAACAATGGATACTAGCTTGACAAAGCCGATGAGAGTAGGAATAAGTGTTGTTTCCCACAAACGACGCCAAATCTTGATGCACAAAATTGGAGATACTTTGGAACAAAGTAAAGTGTCAAGTTTATGACCTTTGCACGATTACTCTGGTTATCTAAGTTGGGCTACGTCCGCGAAGGTAGATGATTTTTCAATAATAATATAGAGTTTACATGACACAATGGTCTAAGCATAATCATCATTAGCAAGTTCTAATGACAAGTTTAAGTATTATAATGGCATTAGGGATTAATTCTATGTAGGGAAATGATCTTCTTTTATAGTTGAGGAGTCTTCGGCTTTTGTGCACAGTCGATGTGGGGCTCTAGGAGCTTTATTCCGACGTTGACATATGTCGTGCTGTGATTAGAATCTTCATAGCTTCCGTCCACGACCATCACCCCCCATTATCAATATCTGCATCACCATCTCGATGGTCATTAGAATCTTCATAGCTTCCGTCATCAGAAATATCATCACCATCTACCGTAAACATCATCATTAGATTCATTACCATCACCAAGACCACCATCTGCATCAACTTCATTGTCGTCGTCGTCGTCCTTGCGACACCAATAATAATCTCGTACTACCTCCTCTGTTATCTGCACTCCTAGTTCTGGGGAACTCTTCCACTCAAGGCAGTTAATCTTCAACTCAGGGCATTTGTATATATGTACGGTTTTCAAGGATCGGAATTTGACAATGCAATTTCCAGAGAAGAAATCTTGCAGACGTGGTAGAGAGTAAAGTTTCAAACTTTGCAACTGGCTAAAACAAATCTCACCATCATTTTCTGCATCATCTGCATCTGATGTCGTTGCCCCTATTCCTCTCATTCTTTTACAATGCCCAACCGTCATTTCTCTTAGCCGCTTTAAAGTTTTGGCTATAGTGTAAGTTGTTAAATATTTCAATCTATGACAACCAACTACTTCCAAAGTTGTTAAATTCTTGAAGGGAATAACAGATAACACCGGATCCTTCAATGCAGCACAAACAACCACATGTAGAACTTTCAAGCTTGGAAAAACTGGGTCTGCCCTTGGGAAATTCTCGTTGTGTAGATGCATCAACTTCCGCATTTCCTTAAGCTTCAAAACACTTAAATGTGGGAAGGTCACAGCTGGATGTACACTATTCTCAAATAAAGAAACTTTCTGGTCGGAGTACTCAAACACCAACGATTTTAGTTTCCTAAACAGCTGTGATGAGGATGGACCACACCATATCTCCATGTCTCCGCCTAAGGTCATGTTTTCCAAGTTGGGGAATGATACATCCTGCAATATTACCAGCGCAAGAATGATAAACGACAAAAATAACGACAGAAGGAGATTTTTTCTATGAACTAGCTTGAAAAGCTAACTCTCGTTTAAGAAAATTGTGTAATGTATTTTTACCTTGTCAATTAAGAACAGAGAGTGTTTAATTGGAGTGTAAAGACCTCCAAACTTATGCTTCTGGAAACTTGAAATTTCAGAGGCAAAAATATCCAATTTACCACATTCCTGCATATCCACTTGTTCGAGTAGCGGCCATTCGGAAGCATGCATTCCTAGATAGAAGCTCCTAAGTTGGGCTAGACAGATAAATTCAATATTTGTTGATTTTGGAAACACAAACTTGGGCATCATTTCTAGTCCCTCTTCCTTGGAAATTATTTCCTTTACTCCAGAACAAAACTTCACTTTTAGCTCCCGTAGTTGCTGAAGACCTCTAGCCACTGAGCATGGAAAAATATATTTCAAACTCTTACAGTCATCTATAAATACCGAATCTAGATTTTCACAACCAGACATTTTCAACTGAGTCGTAGAGGTGTAAGGTGTTTCTTCGATCTCAAAAACCACCTCTAAACAACTGCACGAACTTATCAATAAACTTCCTAAAGCATTCAATCTTCCTGCAATGCTAGGTGTAAAGATGCTTATTAGACTATGGCATTCGATAACTTCAACATCTCTAAGTTTGTAGAAAGAGTCTGGATCAAGTTGGTTGCGCCACACTGTAGTCAAAGTAGATAGCCCAAAGATGGACAATATCTCCAACTTTGGAAACCCTACCTGTATTCGAATTACAAAATTGTTAAATTATTAGACATAAGAATAATGATCAATAAAAGAGAAACAATAGTATAATAATTTTACCTTGTCGTCAAAAAGAAAGTATAGTTCTTCAGTCTCAAGTTTAGGTTCAAAGACAAATCCTTTCAGTTCTGTACAATTCTTTAATTTCAAACTCTCCAAAGATGGAAACTGGACATTACAGCTTACTGAACAGAATCTAGAGAGTTTTGGAAGATCTCTTAGCTTCATATGTTGTAGCTTACAAAACATGCCATCCGGTTTTTCTTCACCATATTCTTCTATTGAAACTATCTCTTCCATTGATTCGCATCCGGTTATCTCTAGTTTTTTAAGTTGTATAAGATTCCTAGCCATGGGAGACGATAACACAAAAGTTAAACCAGTACATTGATCCACCACCAAGCTTGTTAAGTTCGGCAACACAACCTGCAGTATTTGTACATTCGATTTTTAAGAGAAGAGAATTCACATTAATTGTTATTATCTAGTCAAATGGTATCTTTAGATGAAAAAATTATACCAACATATATTTCTTGATACGTACTAGATAAAACTGAACCACTTCAAATGATCAAATATATGTAAATTTAGCCAGACAAAATCTAGAAGTTCTATGGTGGTTGTTTCATTTTAATTTGTAAATTATATCGCTCAAATAAATAAATAAAAGAAGTAATGATATGTGTAAATTCACCAACGAAAATTGAGTAATACATTGAAAATTGAGTGATACACCAAAGAAGTAATGATATGGCATAAATGGGAAAGAACGACACCAAAGGCATACCTCCTCAGTAATGATATGTGTAAATTGGGCATTGTTTTTCACATGGAGATGCTTGAGTTGTTGAAAATCTTCACTACCTGAGTGGTACACAACATTATCAGCTCCCTCCGACCCATCCAAGTACAAATCTTCACATGACATCTTCAACAACATTTCTAGACCGTGGTCCAATTCACAGCCAGTTGGGAGGTGGAGCTTCAATGTATTGAGGGTTTCATCCACATCGTCCCATTTTGGCGCAGTGCCGATTAATATTTCGTATCTTTTTAACTTGTCTGTGAACAAGTCTGTCGGAATACTGCTAGCATCTGGAACATGTACGCTTAATGCAGCTAAACGAGGCAAGTCCTTCAGTTCCAAAAGGCTAGCATTACTTCTTTCTCCGGTGATTCCTTCTGGCACCCATCCGTTGAAGCTGTTTTTCATTCTCAAGTCTTCTAGACTTTTCAAACTTGATATAACATTAGGTGAAATCATTTTGAGCTCAGAGCACCAGCTTAAATCCAGCAGTCGAAGACGAGTCAATTTCCCTATTTCTTTCGGTAACTCTTTAAGCTTGGAATATCTAAAGCTGAGAATTTCTAGTTGCGATAGCTGTCCAACTAGAGTTATGTCTCCCACCACGCATTGATCCAAACACAATGTACGAAGATTTTCTAGGAGCAGAAGAGATGGAGGTAACGACCAAATATGCACATTGGTGAAATCCATAACTTTAAGCTTTCTCATCTCCTCGAAAAAGTTACCTGGGATTTCAAGCAAGTCACCATCATATTGCAAATGAAAAAACTCCAGTTGTTGGCATTTCAAAACTTCAGGAAGCCTAGGGATGTTTTTGCAAGGCAAAGAGATCATTTTGCAATTTTCCAAAAAATCCTTATTGTTTGGCCATTCCTTCAACTCATCTCCATATGTTCTTAATAAGGCATGTTGGCCTTTGGATGCAATCGAGATGGCAACATTGTGTACCATATCATGCATTGTGAATGATGTATTATCCTCAGATTCGAGTAACAGACAAGAATCTTTAAGCTCTTCAATCCGCGAGTGCAATGCATATTGTGCGTGCTCCACTGAGTCAATGTTATTAAACAAACCCAAACCAATTGTATATTTCAACAAGTTTGTCAAAGTAGCGTAGGCTCCCCCAAGACGTGCCAACATTCCACATATCAAGAATAGGGGCTTAAGCTTTTGATCATCCAATTGATTGTAACTCCACTCTAAAGCCGAGTATGCTTCGTGTTCGGCTGAGTGTTCGTTGTCAAACACTTTTAGGCATCTCAAGGCATCCCTCCATACTGGTAAAGTACTTCTATTTCTTAAAGAGCTTGCGACTGTGACAACCAAAACTGGCAAACCTCCGCATTTTTTGGCTACTTCAGTTGCCACAGTTTGTATATTGGGATTTTTAACAACACCACCTGCCTTCATCTCAAATAAACGCCAAGCTTCTTCCTCGTTTAAAACTTTAAGCAGAAAGTCTTTTTGCAACCGCTTCTCTGAGGATAGCAATTTTCGAGCTCTGGATGTCAACAGTATTCCACAAGTCGGCAGACAAGGAAGTCCTACACTCTGCAAGTCAATGCTTTCCCAAATGTTGTCTAAAATTACAAGAACTTTCTTGGCTTTTATCATGTTACATAGACGAAGTGCTCTTTCTGACATAGTTTCGCTTTCATAAACTTCCATACCTAACTTTCTGGCAATTTCTTTTTGAATTCCTTCAAGGTTCGGATTTTGCACACTTCTTACCATAACCGCATCAGTAAATAACTTTTCTTTTAGAGCTTGCCTAAGGACTTGTTCAACCAATGTGGTCTTCCCCACGCCTCCAATACCATACACCAAAATCAGGTCGGTATTAGGAATTCTCAGTTCATCCATGATTTCCTTTACAGTTGAAGTCCTCGAATCAAATACCTCATACAGTTTGTCAGATACCATGGATACCTCTTGTGGGCGGACATTGTACGAAATGATAGCGAAATCTCTTTTTGCGTAGAGCTCAACAACCGCCTGCTCCAACTTTGTTGATCTCCTGCCTAGCTTGTAACGGAGCACCGGGTTTGGACAAACCCCACGGAGACAGCTCATCTTTGCTTGCGTATCAGGCTTGCATAATTCCTTCGCCTTCTCGGTGATCTCAACCACGCTTTTCCGCCAGTTCAGGACGTCAGTGTGGATTTTTTCACCTATTTCTTCAACTCGAACAACCTCGCGCTCTAGCCGCTCTCTAGCGGCACTTAATTCGTTCACTTGAGTCTGTAGACTCTCGAGGTTTCTTTTGCAGTGAAGTAGGTAACCCACTTGGCGTATAGCTGGTTCAAGTGCATACTCGGCAACTTTTCCAACAATTTGATTAACAATCTCCATGCCTGCTGATGAATACAAATTAAATTAGAAAAAAGGAGCTCAAGAAATACTTTGCTTTTCTAATTGACTTATGAGTAATCTTTCAACAACTTATAAATAAACACAGTACATTTCAAAACGTACTATGAAAAACGGAAAATTCTATTCCACTTCTTGAAAAAGATTACTTTTTGAATAAAACATTGTCTAAGATTAGAAACTAACTCTAGTTTTTTGGTATTTAATTGTAATTTTTGAATATTAATTATGTTTTAATAAAGTGGGGCCCAGTAACACAATTGGTTTTTATCTCTATTAGAGAAATGATACAAGTTATGGTAAAATTATGTGATAAGAGTAGCGTTTTTGTTTTCAAAAAGTTCAAAGCAATGGTTGAACTACAACGTGGACTAAAAATAAAAAAGCTTAGAAGTGGTAGAGGTGGCAAATATACCTCAATTGAGTTCAAGGAGTTATGTGAGGATATAGGACTACAGAAACAACTAACTGTTGCTTACTCATCATAGCAAAATGGTATTACAGAGAGGAAAAATTAGACAGCGATTGAAATGGCAAAATCCATGTTGCTTGAAAAGAAGATGCCACATTCATTTTGGAGTGAGGCAGTTAAAACAGTAGTCTATCTTCTCAACAGATGTCCAATAAAGACACTTGATAAAATGAATCCTTTTGAAGCATTTAGTGGTAGGAAACTTGGTGTGAAGCATCCAAGGGTGTTCTATTTGTTATGCACAGATGCCAACACAATTGAGACACAAACTTGAAGACAACACCACGAAATGCATCTATGTGGGATATAGGAGTTAAGAGAAAGGGTATAGATTTTTCAATCTTGAAACTTACAAGGTGATTATTTTGAAGGATGTCATATTTAATAAAGAAGCTGTTAGGAATTGGGATAAAAAGATTGAAGATATCATCTTAGTACCACTTAGACTTGACGAAGTGGAATGTGAAACACAAACTGAGAGTGAAATTGTGTCTGAAATTTAGTCTCCCCAACGTTTAAGTTCAACACTAGAGGACCTAGAAGTGCAAGACTCTCCCTTAGGATCAACTTCATTAAGAATGAGGAGGTTGAGTGAGATTTATGCAACCTGCAACTATCGTATAGTGGAACCTGAAAGCTTTGAAGAAGTTGAGAATGACCAATCTTGGCAGAAGGCAATGAGTGATGGAATTGTATGATTGAGAAAAACTCAACTTCGTAACTTGTGAATAGACCAAGGGACAAACTAGTGATAGGTGTGAAATGCGTCTAAAAGACCAAATTGAATCTAGATGGCTTCGTACAAAAGAACAATGTAAGACTAGTTGCCAAGGGTTATTTCCAACAACCTGGAATGAATTTCAATGAAACCTTTGCTCTAATGGCAAGGTTGGACACTATTAGGACTTTAATTGCTTTGGCCACACATAATTCAGCTTTTCTCAAGAGCATATTGGAATAAGGTTTTATGGTTCCAAATAAAGATGAGAAGGTGTTCAAATTAAGGTAGGCACTGTATGGACTGAAGTAAGCACCAAGGTCTTGGTGCAGTGAAATTGACTACTACTTCAACAAGAGAGGTTTCAGAAAAAGTTCAAGTGAGGCAACAATTTATACAAAGACGGGAAAAGGCTCAGAAAAGCTAATTGTGTTTATCTATATCGATGATGCGGTGTTCATTGGAAGCAATGAAGCTATGATTTCTGAACTCATAGAGGATTTGATGAAGCATTACGAAATGACTAATTTGGGATTTCTTCATCATTTTCTGGGAATTGGAGTGATTCCAGAATCCAGTAGTATTTTCATACATCAGCAAAAATATGCACAGACCTTACTTGAGAAATTTGGAAGGAAATGATGCAAGTCAGTTGCTACCCCATTGATTACAAATGAAAAAGTGTAAAAATGATGGAACTGAAGTTATCGATGAGAATTTGTACAAGAAAATTGTTGGCAGTCTACTCTATTTGACAGCAACAAAAGTTGATATCATGTTTGTAGCAAACCTACTATCAAGATTTATGCATAGTATAACAAAGATTCACATGGAAATTGCAAAAAGGGTCCTCAGATACATCTCATGAACCTTGGATTTTGGACTCAGGTATACAAAGTGAAAATGCAGATCTAACTGGCTTTTGTAATAGTGACTGGGGTGGAAGTGAGGATGATATAAGAAGTACCTCATATTATGTCTTTACATTTGGATATGGGATATTTTCTTAGGCTTCAGTCAAGCAACAAAGTTTTGCACTGTCCATCGCAGAAGCTGAGTATGCGAGTGCTGCTGAAGCAACATTTCGAGCTATATGGCTAAGATTTGTTCTGAAGGATTTTCGGGAAATGCAATTGGATGCCACACCGTTCATGTGTGACAACAACTATGCAATAACCAAGACTAAAAACCATGTGTTCCATCAGAAGACTAAACACATTAAAAGAAAATTCATTTCATCATAGGGGCATTGCTGGAAAACACAATTGAGTTGTTGTATTGCAAGTTTGAAGATCAGACTGCAGATATTTTCAACAAAACTCTGCCTAAAAACAGATTTGTTTATCTGAGATGACTGCTTGGAGTCAAAGCATAATCCATTTAGAAGGGAATGTTGGAGCTAAATGAAATTTGGTTTTGATCCTACAACTTGGAACACAAGAAATTTGTTTGTGTTTGTTTGCTTGAATTCCATTAGGCTAGTGTTATGTAGCTGCTAGTGTTACTTTGTTGTTAGTGAACTAGGTGTGGACTTGGTTTCATTAGACGAGTGTATGCACCAAATTAGTTTTTTAGATTGAAGGGCTCAGAGTAATTGTCTTTGTTTGATAGTGAAGGAGAAGAGATAAAATTGTATGAAGGATGCTGAGCTGCTACTATTAGCTCAAGCATTTCATCTCTAAAATTCTCTGATTTGTTCTTCATTCTTTTTCAAGATTTCTTCACTTATGTGCACTAAACTATTGCAGATTTAACATAAACACAATACATAATCAATACACTGACTGAAAAGTACAAGCTTGCATGGCACCAGATTTGGAAGCAAACCAAATGCCATAAATGAGATCCAAGATTCCAACTCAAATCAAATATGGTTATAATTAAAGAACGTACCCTTAGCTCTATTGGTTATCTATGAAGTGAGTTGATCTTCAATATTTACGTTCCTTGGAGCACCAATGCAAATCGGTCGTTCTGTAAATTAAGAATAAGCTAATGAAGTAAGAAGGGGGAGTACGTAATAATTTCTTTCTTTCTTGCCAAGTTCTTCTGGATACAATTGCAATTTGCTAACCAAAAGCAAAAACAACTAAGAAATCTAAAAGCACTAAGTTTTATATTCTTCTTCTAATTTAACAACATGTGTACTCTAAAACTAGGTTATCAAATGGGCCCTAAACTGCATGTAAAATTGTGTACTTCACTAAGGTCAATTAAAAAAAGATGCAGGTCACAAATTAGGATGGCCTATAAAGTTATGCCCGTGCGTTGTCGGGAGATTAAAAATTGTAAGAGATATCGTGTTTCGAAGATACAAAGAGTTTGCCAAATTAGGCAAAAATATTTTGCTTCAACGCTAAAAGCTTTTGTCCAATATTTGTTGATTGTTAAGGAAGCATCCTAGGAAAGGAAATAAAAATATTGAAACACATGAAGCAAATTTATATGACAATAGAATTATACCACAAAGAAAAAAAAATGATAGAATAGGGTTACCTAGTTTTTTTTTTTTTTTTTTTGTTTTAATTGTTGTTATTGTTGTGTGGATTGGAGTCGGATTTTGTACCAATTGGAGAGGACGGTTTTTCAGCAATTCAGCAGGACTTCACCACTACCAACATTCTTAGCTAGATAGTGAACGTTGTATGAGGCACCATTATTATCTACAAACATGGAATTTGAAAAGATATAATTGTTAATTCAAGCTTGAACCAACTTTTGCCTATATACAATGAAAAAAGAACAAATCATAATTTCAACTCACTCTCTCATCAGAATGTACAAGATAATCTGAATTAAAAAAATTAACCCAAAAAAAATATTAAAATTTTGATATTTATAAATCTAAAAATCGCAAAACTCCCAAATTTAAACAAAACAAACTTCACAGATGTGTGTTTTTTATGTTATAATCTTAAGTAAAATAGACTTACATACAGTTGTTGTAAAACAACACTTGTATAACACCTATACCAAAATTTACTCACATTCTTAGTTATAAGTTATTGATTTGGTGAAAGTTGATGACTCATTTAATGTATTGATACATTCGTAGTTTTTTAATCAATTTTTACATACAATGAATAATATGGGTTGTATATTTACACTCATTCTTTCCAAAATTTCTATTCTCAGATTTTTATTTATTTTAATTCATAAGAAAATAATTTTTTTTTTAAAAGAAAAAAAAAGGCAGAGAATGCAGTAATTAACATATTCACTAGGCTAGGAAAACTAAAGTCAAATAAGTTACTCAATGCATCAACAAATATAGCTGGTGAGTCTGCTTGACTATGGGTATGAGAGGCTGAAATGTTTCTATGAGTCTTTTCGGTTTCCAAAATGAATGAATAACTGTGACTTGTCACCAATTGTCCTTTAAAAAAAAAAAAATTATCCATGAGTTCCAAAAAAATTGAAACTTGTAGTAATGCCAAAAAGCATATCTGATGAAAGGAATGATAAACGATAAATTTTTTTTTTTTTTTTTTTTTTTTTTTTTTTTAGAAATATCTTCAATTTTTATACTATTATATACTTCAGTCCCAAATGGCACATGAAGTTACAAAAAGAAGGAAAAGGATCTCCTCTGGATCTATTACGTGGAGATCCTAAGAATCTTTACATTTTAACCGTTTATCGTTTATCATGTGATCAGAAATCATTTAACTTTTATCATTTTAAATTAAACACAAATAATATTTAACGAAAATTGGCCACCCAATACATATTGAACGACTGAGATGTGAGGATCTCTATGATCACCGCATAATGAATCCGAAGGGATCCTTTTCCCAAAAAGAATAGAAAGAAGGAGAAAATGTGAAATTCCCAGATTAGTGTTACACTACAACACTAGCAATCACATGATATGTCATATCACAAACAATCCCATGATATATCATAAATTCATAATATCATGAGGGCATAGACACATACAATTATCAAGAAGAACATAAAACCATTAACACACTTGTCCACCGCCTTGACCCCTTTGCTTTTGGGTGAGTTTGGGTGGTGTTTGGAGGTGATACGGTGGTGGTTCTCGGTTTTGCCGAGAGGGAGAAGGAGAGTTGCAGAGGGGGACAGATGGTATGAGAGAGAGTGACCGTTGAGAGATGGGGGAGTCTGAGTGTAATGAGAGAGTAAATGACGCATGGGAGAGAGGGAGAGAGGAATTGGTGGGAGTGCAATGATGAGTCAAATGGATTGGATGGGTGATAGAAACGGAATTGGATTCTCTTTATGAGCACAAGCTCAGGAGCATGCTGATCAAGAGTATCGTTGGATTTTGATTTAACGGTTATAATTATTATAATTTTTTAAAGAAACTCTCTGTTTATAATCGTTGGATCAAAATTCAACAGACCACATGCGCTGGTCAGCAAGCTCCTGAGCTTGTGCTCAGAAGAGAATCCAATTCCGAACTCAGAAGAGAATCCAATTCCATGCGTTGGTCAGCAATCTCCTGAGCTTGTGCTCAGAAGAGAATCCAATTCTGAACTCAGGAGAGAATCCAATTCCGATAGAAACCAGAGGAAAATTCCAGAGGTCCAGCTTGAGGGCACAACAACGAAGAAAAAGGAAAAAGATGACAGATGCGTGGAATGAGAGGGTATAAAATGTCTTTTCAAGTATTTATATTATTATGATTAACATAATTATAATAATTATCTTCCGAATAATTAGAATTATTTTAACATTTTATTATCCAGAGAAGGTGTTCGAATGCAATCACATTTAAGATGCCAAAGCCACCTAACTAGGCCTAAGATCATGCATGCCTAGATGCTGTTATTCATTATTTTGTTATTATCTTTTGGATAAGGAATTGAAAATGTTTCCAAAAAAAAAAAAAAAAAGGAATTGAAATGGGTGGTCAGCAGGTGGAGCAAAATCAGTGGAGTGAATAGTCAGATAGATTGGATGGGTGATAGAAATCAGAGGAAACTTCCAGAGATCCAGCTGGAGGGCGGACCAGGATCCTCTCATAATCTAAGGATGAGGATCCTCATGACTAAGAGATGTGGATCGTTGGATACAAATCTAACGGTTATAATTATTATAACTTTAAAAAGACTCCCTATTTGTAGCCGCAGTCCACATCTCTTGATTATGAGGATTCTCATCCTTAGATTAGGAGAGGATCCTGATCCCATTAATTACTCACACTTTTTGGGGCTGAACACCTATTGAATAATCTTTAACATGTGAAGTGTGCCTTTACTTGTAGCCCGCTGTTGCACTATCAGTGTGGTGTAATGTAATGGGAAGATGGGGGAGTACACTCTAACAACCCCACAAATTTTATTTTTCTATTTTGTGCTAGCGATATTGAAGATGAGGAAATTAGACTTGAGATATTGGATAAAGAGTAAATACTTTTAACTAACTGAACTACTTTGGCATCGCAAATGTGATTGCATTCCAACACCTTCTTTAGATAATAAAATGTCAAGATAAACCCAATTATTCGAAAGATAATTATTATGATTATGATAATTATAATAATATAAATAATTGGAAGTCAACTGGATATTTTGCTCATGTGATAATCTATAAATGACACAATATTAAAGTTGGAACGAAAGACGCGAAAACATAATAACAATCTTTTACATTTGAAAGGTTCTAACGATCTTTGTAGATGTAGTAACACTATAATCCAATGATACTCTTCTATATTACTAAATGACAAGTTTCATGTTCGACTTGTATAAATGACAAGTTTAATACCTATTTATGTATGACATATTATCTAGTTTAGCCCAAATTCTCCCCTCAAAGTAAAGTATCGTTATAGAAAGAAAAAAAAAAAAAAACCATCAAAATATCACAAGAATTAAAAAAGCCCTCTCGTTTCTATCAGCCATCCAGACTCATCATTGCACCCCGAACCCGAATAAATTTGGTTCTTTCATGATTTCTGTGGGTTTAGCTAAAATTTAGCATGCCAGAGTGCACATAAGAGTAAACTGCAAGAAAGACTCTGAAAAGCAGACATATACATATAAATATGAAACATAATAAGTGATTATAGCAGCCTGAATCATCCGTCTATATATAGATGGCTTCCTAAAATGTCGCAGAAAATTGAGTTTATTTGGCTACATTGGAACCGATCGTTCCTATTCTTGTATACCCATTTAGAACCCTGAGAAGTTGATCAAAGTTTTAGGTCTAGGCATATACTTGCAGTTTCTTAATTTTGGACCGTTAGATTTTTTTTTGTTTTTTTTGTTGAATTTATCATATTCAATCTCACCCCATTAAATTTAATATTTTTATAAATTTTAAATTAAATAATTTTAAATTAAAACCGTTAAATCAACTAATAGTGCGGGTAAATACGGCCCGATCAAAAAAATAATGCAATTGGGATTGCACATGGGTGATCAGCAACCCATCAGGCTAGGTCCCACTTCCCCTCAACCGTTCCCTTTTTCCCTTACTTTTTCCTTTAATTTTTGGAGAAATTTTTTATTATGACGAGAACACAGGTGATACATTACGTATCACTGTGCAAGTGGTGAAAATTTTTATTTTATAAATTATTAATTTTTTAAAATACATATCTTACCATTTCTATAGTAATACGTGATATACCATCTCGTACGCTGATAAAATCTCTCCAACTTTTGGCAAGTTTCCTTCACTTTTGGTCAGTCATGCGCGTTTGCATACCTTCTCTACAGTTTACACGCGTTTCCACATCTCATGACCAAGAGATGTGGACTGTTGGATAAAAATCCAACAGTTATAATTATTATAACTTTAAAGGGACCCCCTATTTGTAGCCGTTGGATAATAATCTAACAGTCCACATCTCTTGGTCATGAGGATCCTCATCCTTAGATTAGAAGAGGATCCTGGTTCTAATTAATGCTTAATTAGGGTTGGAGGTAAGATTGTGATGGAAATTCAGGCCCATATACCATCCCATCATGATGGAGAAATTCACATTATGAAAAGTCCCGCCACAAGAACAACAAAAAGTGATAATTCCATAAAAATAAATTAGAATAATCTATATAATTTTTATTTTTTTAAAAGGGTAATGTTTAAATCCGATTTTACATTATTGGTCAAAGCAATTGGGACCATTGAATAAACAAAGTTTTAGATTGTAACATGAGTAAAATATCAAGCTCTCTTCCAATTATTTATATTATTGTAATTATCATAATCATAATAATTATCTTCCGAATAATTGGGATTATCTTGATATTTTATTATCTAGAGAAGGAATGCAATCATATTTGCGATGTCAAAGTAGTTTAGTTGGTTAAAAGTATTTATTCTGTATCTAAAATCTCAAGTCTAATTTCCTCTCCCTCAATATCGCTAGTATAAAATAGAAAAATAAAATTTGTGAGGTTGTTAGAGTTTCATCTTGTCCTCCCCCATCTTCCCATTACATTACACCACACTGATAGTGCCGTAGTGGGCTACAAGTAAAGGCGCACTTCACACATTAAAAATTATTCAAAAGGTGTTTAGGCCCAAACAGTAAGTAGTTTGGTTATTTAGGGTTGGAGATAAGATTGTGATGGAAATTGAGGCCCATAAACCATCCCACCATGATGGAGATATCCACATCATGAAAAGTCCCCCACAAGAACAACAAAAAGTGATAATTCTGTATATTTTTTTGGGAGAAAATCTATCACAACATTTAATATTTGAGGAAGTGTGAACCTCTTTTAAGGAAAAGGATTATTGCCGGATTTTTTTTTGGGGATTCTAGGGATCATGCGATCGTAACCGTTTATTAAACATCATACTGTCATAAATCATTTCAAAATTTAAAATTTAAAAATAAATATAAATAGTCCTAACAAAAATTGACCGCACGATGTACGATAAACGGTCACGATCGCGAGATCCATAGGATCCCCAGAAAAAGGATCCGGCTTGGATCCATTTCCCTCTTTTAGGTGCAACAAACTCCATGATTTTAGCTTAAATCATGGAAATGGGGCACTAATCAAATGATGGTACCTTAATCCTGATGATTGTCGAGAATCAATGTTATTATTGTGTTATATTATGTGTAATTTAACCAGAAAGGGGAAAAAAACAAAAAGGTTGCTGCAACGAAGAAACTGCAAGTGTGCAGGAGACTAAGTCTAATTTAACCAGAATGAAAACAATGAACGAATTGCGGAAACGGAACTATCTTTCTAGGCAAAATTTGACCATACAGAAAATGCTAGATCATGAAGAGATAGGAGTGGTACTTCATAGGATTGAGAGCCTAAACTTTGTTCTAGGCTTATCCAGCCTAGGCTGCCATACTAACCCTTAAGGTTCACATGACAATGGAATAAGGTTTATGCGACTATTTCTTAAGATTCAAATAGTGATGATCATTAAAGTTAACATGATTATGAACTTGTTTTAGAATACTTTTAAATTGATTAAAACACTTTCACATGGGGCGCGAGTAAAGTGACAAATTAACCCATTTGGTAGGAACCATCAATACTTATGAGTTTCATCTCTATTAGAAAAATAATACACATACGTGATAAGTAATTTGAAAACAAACGCTTTTGGCTCAGCCAATAAAAAAAGAAAACCTTAATTGTGGCAGAGCGTTTCAGAATGGGTGGACGTCTCCCATACCAAGCTGAGACTGAGATTGATCCAAAACAAGAAAACATCCGGCACCCTTAATGTCCCAAAGAGGTATTGCAGCATCACATTCACCTGTAAGCAAAACCCACTGGCTAAGAGTAGACCATTCCACAATCATCACACCACCTGCGATCACGAAAAATACAGCACCTAGGACCCTCCTAGGTGCACGGAACTTTATTCTCGGTCATAAGTTAAACTTAAACCCAAGAAACAAGGCTAAAAACACTTGCACTTTTATAAACAAAACCTAGAGAACCCAAAGGAAGAACATAAATCTACCAAGAGCTGAAACCTAGCTTTTAAGGTTCTAAGCATGAATTCCGCCACTTACAGGGTTCAACCAGAAAATCCAAATGCTACATATTCCAAAATGCTGAGAAAATCGACTAGGTCGGATTGTTTAAAGAAGCGAATTTTCGCAACATTCGTGGTTCTCCACCCTAAATTTCAAGAACAATCCCTGCTTATATCCTCAATATTGTCATCCAAAATGTTTCATGTGTTCACATAACCATGATAAGAAGTTTAAATTTTCTAACTTTCTATGCATCAAGTGTGCATTAAACGTCGAATTCTGTGAATATTGGGACATACCGCGGTGGCCAGACAAGGTGTAATATCACAGAGGCGGACTTGAACATCTTCGGTTCCGGCAGCAATGAGCATGTGAGAAGTTGCCAACGGCGACATTGCAGTTCGGTACACCTTCCCCGGCATCTTGAAGTCCATCAGCACCTGCGTCGTATTCGTATCCCAAACATTGATGTGATGATCGTACGACCCCGTCACAAACAGTATGGTGTCGACGGGATACCACACCGCGAACTTATGCCCGTGCTCGTGCTGCTTGTCCACCACAAACAGGCACTTGTGCCTCGTGATAACTCCGCTGCCTACGTAATCGGTCCCGCGCTGGACATCGAACACGGCAGCGGAAGCATCGGAGGCGCCGGATAACAGGTACCGGCCCTCCGTCAAATCGAGCTGGAGAGAGTTGACGGAGCCGCGGTGAGGGGAGATGATGTCTTTGTGCTTGGAGAGTGGGAGCGTTTGGATCCGGGTCGACTTGATTCGATTCGAGAACGAATTTGGGCGGAGCTTGCCCGCTTCCCAGTCTCCGATTTCCCGCCACATTTTCGGAGCATCTTCTTCTTCTTGTACCAAATGCAAAAGCGAAGCAAAGGTTCACAAGGCAACGATGTCGTATCGCAGTGTTGTCTCTCACACTCTGAAGTATGAATTCGTTTTCTGTACTTCCGGGCTTCGCTTTGATTTTCGTCCTGGTCAACTCGGACGGATTCGGGTTCGGGTTATAATGGCTGACAAATGATGCGTCAGCAAAACGACAGCGTAAGCCTTTCCAAAATTGAAAAGTGGGGTGTGTGTTGTGAATGAGAGGTGTCAACTTCCGTTCTCGAATGATGAATTCCATATTTAAATAGGACTGGCCTATTGGTTATTGTGAGAGCAGTTCCACTAATAAAGACTTTGCGCTAGCATCTATCGTATTTATCCGCTCAAATAAACAGTAATAGACTCCAGTGAACAGTAATAAGCCAAAGCATCTCCACCTCTAAAAAAATGCGCTGGCACCCAGTCTAAAAATGCGATGGTACAAACAATCTCCATTCCTATAAAATGCGTTGGCACCCAGCCCATTTAAAATATTTTATATATTTTTTTAAAAGAATAAATAAAAAAATAGTTTTATTTTCAGATAAGATTTTTAACCAATTTCGGATAAAATTTCAAATAAACTTAAAAAAAAAAAACAAACTAAAATAAAGTTACATACTCATCAAATAAACTTAAAAAAAAACACACTAAAATAAAATTACATAAACTCATCAAATACACTTTATTCTTCAACCACAAGCTTATTTTAATTATCTTCACATTCTTGCAATCCCCACTGGTGCTCAATCAAGTCATTTTGGCGGGTTACGTGCCAGTATGGCTCTTGCACATCAGTGTACCGTTGAACGATCAATTCATTGTAACGTCCATCTCATTCCAATGGCTCATGTTGCACGGGATCATGGTTGCAAATAGCACTCATGATTTTGTTGAACAAACTTCGTTGCATTCTAAAACGACGTCTAAAAACATGATCAGGGAATACGCTGTTGGGAATAAAATAATCTTCCAAGAGATCTTTATCTCGTTTTTCCCTTTTTCTATCGAAGTTTGCAGCACATCTGGGTTTGGCTATCTGACCCACAGCTTCCATGACACGGCGGGAATGTGAGGCCATCTGCCTTCTATGGTCATCTTCTGAGTCCTCCTCCGTTGCGAAAGCCTCATCTCCACCTCCACATTCCTCGAGATTGATCAATTCTTCTTGTTGTGCCAACAATCTTTTCTGTTGCTCCACAAATTGTTTATGCACTCTCCTTGAAGAAGACATTGTAAAAAAAAAACTCAAGATTTGAAAACGATGAAGATGGATGTAGGGATGTATGGTTTATATGGACAAAAAAAATTAAGGATGAGCTTTTTGGTATTTTTTTTCACACAAAAAGTATATGAAAGCTTTGGTAGAAAGTGTAGAAAATATTGAAATGTGGTGTAAGGTGGAAGATGAGGGTTAGGTATTTATAGAAAAAAAAATAACTTTTTTAAAAATTTTTATGTATTTTTTAATAATTTTTATGTATTTTTTTCATAATTTTTAATAAATTTTAATATAGTTAATTAATCTGGACCGTTGGATTTGAAAAATATTCAAATCCAAGAGCCAAGGCGCTGCCATGTGGCCAACAGTCATAATTTTGACCGTTGGGCCTTTTTTTATTTATTTTATTTTTATTTTTGGTGAAAAAAAATGGACCGTTGATCTGTGATCGGACGGTCCATTTTAAAAGTCAAATTTAAATTTTTTTACTGTTGGAAATCCAACGGTCTACAAAAACTAGCCGTTGGAAATCCAATGGCACTAAGGAGGGCCACGTACCTCTAATCCGGGTGAACACAAGTGGGCTGGCAAGCGGGCCCCGCCGCCTGCACCCTTGTCTCCTACTCACGCCTAGTCGCGAGTGTGCTGCACTCGCCAGCCAAATAGGCCGGCTTATGGGTCTGTCCGAAATGGGCTGGTCTATTGCCTGGCTTGGGATGGGTGCCAGGCTGCTTTACGGGCTGTAGCAGATTGACAGGGTGCTGGGCAATTTTGTATCCGATAGAACTGCTCTGAGGAATGTGATTATTGTGACAAATTCAAGAATACTACTTCATTGTTGAACTCCCAATCATAAATGAACACATGTCTAATTATAATATTTTGTTTTAATTATTTGAACACGTGTCTATTTATGATTGAGGTTCAACAAAAGATCCTGCTATTCTTTCAGTAGTAAAGTAGTGTTCTACATTCAATGCTTAACCTAGAATCCACTAGGCACCAAAATCATTAGGAATTGAGGAGTTGAGATCTTCTCCGGATCTCTGTGTCGGAGCTCAAGGACTCAAAGACCGAGGTCGTTGAAGAGAGAGAAAAAAAATATCCGAACCATTGATTTGTGTGAAGTCGGCCATTAAAATTAGCTTATAAGGACTGCAGAATTTATAATGAGGACCATTACAAAGAAACAAACAACATGTAATTTCCTCCATGTGTATCATTCTTTTACAATTCCCAACTGTCAATTCTTTTACATGTTTCCAGCTGTGACAACCAACAACTTCCAAAATTGTTAAATTCTGAAACGGTATTGCAAATGGCCTTAGATTTGGGTCTGCTTGTGGGGAATTCTTCTTCCTCTGATGCATCGAGTTCTGCATTTCCTCAAGCCTCAAAGCACTTAAATTTGGAAAGGTCTACATGCCCAATACCTCGAGGGAAAGCTCCTTGCTTTTTAGTGTGCAAAAGAGCCACACCAACTCTCTATATTGCTGGGCAACTTCAACTTTCCTAGCTTGGGAAATGAATCTTGAAACATTACAGGCCAATGTGGGGATGTTTTACAACATGCATGGCAAAAAATATGGGGTTTTCAATAATTTTTATTCATTTGAGCAGAAAGAAATGTTCTATTTCGCTTGATAAATTTCAATAGAAGTACTCTTATTAGGGTGTAAACCTGTGGATAGACCTATAGTAGAAAAACATCACTTGAGTATTTACCCAGATCAGGTTTCTGTTGATAGGGGTAGATATCAAAGACCTGTGGGGAGATTAATTTATTATCTCATACTCATCCTGATATTGCGTATGTTGTGGGTGTTGTAAGTCAGTTTATGCACTCGCCCAGTGAAGATCACATGGTTGCGGTAATGTGAATTTTGGTATATCTGAAGTCTGCACTCAGTAAATGAATACTTTATGAAAAACATGGAAATCTAAAGGTTGAGAGGTTTTAAGATGTAGATTGGGCTAACAATGTTACTGATAGATGGTCTACATTTGGATATTTTGCGTTTGTTGGAGGTAATTTGGTTACGTGGCATAGTAAGAAGCAAAAAGTGGTGTCAAGGTCGTTTGCGAAAGTTGAGTATAGAGGTATGACACACGGAATATGTGAACTTCTTTGGTTACGTAAACTTTTGAGATGTCTTGGTTTTGAATCAAAGGAGGCTATGGAGTGATGTTGTGACAATAAACGTGAAAGGGAGATAGCTAATAATCCGGAACATGATCGAACAAAGAATGTGGAGGTTGATCGACACTTCGTCAAGGAAAATCTTGAAAGGAAAATTGTGTCTATATTGTTTATGAGTTCAGGAGAGCAGTTGGCTGATATTCTTACTCATGCGGTATCTAGTAAGGTTTTCCAATACTCAATTATCAAGTTGAGCATGTATGATATTTTACACCAACTTGAGGGGAATGTTGATTTGAGTTTTAATTGTAAATGTTCTTATTTGAAGTAGGATTAGGATCTGTAATCTTTAAGATTTAGTGTCCTTATATTTTGTAATTACTTTCCTTATAAAATAAGATATAAGTACCTGTATATTGTAAACCCTAAAAGATGAATAATATAACGCAGTTTTCAAAGTATTTCTTCTTCTATTCCCCCTCCCCCCAAAACAAACATCATCTTTCCAAATTCACTCATTTTCTCTAATTTAAGTACGTACACCATCGCACTCCTTTTATGTTTTCTTCGTGTTGATCCAACCACTCTATTCTTCTATCACACTCATCTTTTATTTTTTTATTTTTATTTTAACCCACCACTGATCTTCTCGTACAATTTCCCCCAAAGAACCATCTCCATGCTCATTATTTTCTACAACCCGTCCCCTATTCATCACTCTTTCTTTTTCTCTTCCTCTCTCTCTCTCTCTCTCTCTCTCTCTCTCTCTTGTTTTTTTTTTTGGAGTTCTTTTCTTTTTTCACTCACCTTCCACACCCTTGTTCCTTACTACACAATCTTGTGTGTCTCTCTCTTCACTAGTTAATATTGATGCATAACTCAATTTGAGTTCCATAGAGCAATTCTCTTGGAATATAGCTTGCTCGGTTGTACAAGTCTTAGTCACGACATCGTCTTCATTCGTCATGACTCCCATTAGTGAAGTTGACTGGCCAAAGGCAACGTTGTCGTTGTAGCTTGGCGTCCCAACACATCTAACATCTTGCTGACAATGTGGCTTTTGGTGGTGTTGAAGGTGTAGGATGGCATTTTATGACAATATGTGGGTTCATGGTTTTTGGATTGTAAAAATTTGTTATGTGAGAAAGGAGATTATGTTGATGAATAAAGATATATAAGAAATTAGGTTGGCCATGGTGAGCTTGTTAAGTAACGTGATGACAAGAAGAATCCATTGTAAGGAATTTGATGTGTTGGTGTTGGTTCTTTGGTTTCAAATGCTTTCTTCACCCTTTGGTTTGTGATTCACGTCTAATCTACTTGCACAAAAGTTACTAGTTTTGGTTGATTGGTGGTGTGTTTTCATGGTTAGAGGATAGAGGCATAGAGTAGTATAAATCTAGTTAAACACAATGACACACAGAATTTAAGTGGTTCACCAATTTGGCTACGTTCACTAGAGTTGCATATGCATTTGGATTTCACTATGTAAGGGAGATTTACAAAACAGAATGAAGATGGTCTAGAGCCTTTACATAAGGTAAAAGAAAGGGAAGGTGGGTGGTCTGAGAATGAGAGATCTTTCTTGTAGCTATTGCGTTGTTGCTGGTGTGGTGTTGTTCCTCCCATACGTGTTCTTTCCTCCTTCTGCCTTTATGAAGAAATCAATGGAATCCTCATTTAAGTCTTCAATGACACATTTCAATTCTTTATAATTATTACCGTGCATGTGAACAACTACCCAAAAGCCACGTCCTACTCTAAGGGATATAGAATCTCACCCTTCCAATTTTGGGGAGTGAATCATCACCATACATTAACTCATAATTTGCCACCTCACCATTTGGTTAAAATATCATACCAATTCTAGCTAGATTTATTTCACTTCAAGCTTAACTCTTAGCTCGTTGCTGTTAGTTACACTTTAAACTATGAAAAAAAGGCTAGTAAGGTCAATCAATTCTATTGGCATGTAAATGATACTTTGATACATACATTGATACATACATATATATATATACACACACACATTTTCTTTTTAAATACAGGTATTACAACTTCGAATCTAATAATAGGATGTAATGGACAAATTTTATTAGTTTAAAGACTGATTTTTCTGAAAAATAATTTAGAGACTAAATCGGCCGCCAGAAAAATCACCGTAGCTTAGTAACAGTAGATTTCCAATTTTACTGCTGTTTCTTTTTTGTTTTTTCAACTTTGCCATGTTGCTTGGCTGTCAAATGGAGAACAGAATGGTGATGCGTGGTTTTCACCGCTTCTTCCCTCTCCCTCTCCGCCTCATCCGGTAGAAATTCGTTTCTGTCGCTCACAATTCGCTAAAGAAAATTCTAAACCTCAAACAAACAAATCGCATAAAACCTCAAACCCAACAAAAGTAATGAAATAATCAGCAAAAGTAATGAAAATGTTACGTGTTAGCAATCAAAGCAACCAACATATGACATAAACTAATAGCCTATCGGAATTGTAGCTACAAATCTCCATCAAAATTCTTGAGCGGAACCATCAAAGTTGCTATTCCTCATAAGACAATGTTGCTGAGAACGAAACACAGGTGATATTTCATAACTACCGAGCTTTATCAAAATTCTATTTGCATTTTTGAGTTTGTATGTGCTGGTGGTGGTATGAGTGTCTACTGGCTCTGTTATGCTTGAAGGCATATTACTATCAACTAAATTCAATAATCGTGATGCCCGGGCTGCCCGTTGTTTTTCTTCTTTTGCACAGCGTTGCCCACTCGTCCTCCTTTGTCTTGCCATGCGTCGATCATCCTGGATAGGTCTTCTTCAATTGGATCTCTCCAAAATTCTTTCGGTTTCCATTTGCTTCTCTCAGCCTTCCTCTCTCTCTCTCTCTCTCTCTCTCATCGCTACTCACTCTCGCTTTTCCGATGAATTTCCAGTCAAAATTGGGCACGATGCGTCCCCAAATCACCACCAATGGAAGGTAGTTGGAGAATCGTGTAAGATTAATCCTCAAATTTCGAATTTTATTTTTTATTTGATTTCTCTTAATGCATGTTTAAGATTAGTGTTCGTGGAGGTGATTTGAGATGGATTTCAAGCTGGATTGCAGAGATAAGTAACTTGATAAGAATCATGATTATTGAAAGAAAAAATGGATAAAAATCAAAGTCGCCCAGTATTTGGAACACTTTCCGTGTAAAGAAGCCGAAATTATAGTAATCTTCCTTTTATTTGATGGTTATGTTAGGCATATTATGGTTTTCCTATCTGTTAATAGGGGTTCGGGAGTTCACTAAAATCGCTTCGAATTTGCTTTAGTTTTGATCAGAAGAGAAGGCAGAGGCAGCTAGTGCTGCTCTTGCTGTGACCCAGGAAGTTCTCGTGTTCGTCAACAATATCTCTATGCATCCGGAGACTTGGCTCAATTTTCGACGGCGATGAAGACTCAGACGGTATACTCTGCTTCGATTTGTCCATTTCTTTGTGTAATTGAATTCAATGTGCTTTGTTTTCACGAAACTAAATGCATAGTAGTGATACTAATATTCAATTCTCTAGATGCATGTGTGGCACATTCGATAAAACATTCTGTCTTCCTTTGCGGACAAGCCGAATGATTATGAGCTTCCAGTCCTTTTGAGTAATATTTTTACCAATTATTTTTTTGTTGAGTAAACCAATTTTTTTAGAAAAGGAAAGAATGCTTTTAGCAAATCACTTACAAAAAATTCATACACTTACTCACCCATATACAGGTTTTCTACAAAATGATCATCCTATTTTCAATGCGTAGTTAATTAATGATCCGAATTGTTCACTTTCTTTCAAGAATACAAATAATCAGCTAAACCAACGATTGATTAGGTGTTCGATTGTTTCGACATTTTCATTACAATTTTGTCTAATGAGTCATGATTTTGTGTATATTTTAGGATTTGAATGATTGTTTGCGAGAATAACCCTTGAATATGAAGGTTAAATATAAACATAGTTTCGATCACTAAAACGCATTATGTAAAATGAGAATAACTTTATGAAGATATAATAATATATAGAACCCCAAAATAATGTTTTCTCCAACCTACCTAACCCAATGCCAAATAATGTTTTGCATATTTCTACAATGATGTAATCTGGCCATTGAAGGGATCTCAGAATGAGAAGGTGATCAAGTGTGCTTCTGAAGTTTTGTCTCATGAATTCAACAATATGATTCAACAATTTTTAAACATTTTCACGTTTTTTTGGTAAAGGATGAATTCAAAATGTGAATAAGAAAGATAACATGCTGACATCTGTTCATTCACCAGGTAAAAAAAAAGTATGCGTCCTTACTCAATCAACTCATTTTGTGTTCTAATTTAGAGTTCTGAATCAGAGTATTGTTTGCCAATATAAAGAGCAGGATAATAAAATCATGAGATATTTGACATTTTATGTTAAACTGAATTAAGAGCACACTTTCATATACAATTTCATTTATATTTATTCAATCTAACAGTATAGTCCTATTGTTAGAGAAAACTATTCTTTTTCTGATCAAGTAATATATTATTTTAGGACTCATAAACTTACTATTTAAATTCAATAAATCTATGACACATTGGCTTAAGAATTGTTATTAACAGCACTAGAAAACCATCTTTCTGCATTCTTCTCTGTTTCATGCATAATTACAACATCACTCACTGTCTCTGAATTCCAAATTTAGTTAAGAACAATGATAAATGACTGAAAAGCATGATGTTTTCAAAATTATTTGGTTGGCAGTCCTACTCAGTAATACGAACCGTACGACTCCAATTGTCATTTATCCTTGTATTAATAACGGGGAACCCGTGGAAAACATGATGGCTCCTTCTAGGGAAAATTGTGCCTCCCAACCCAAATGCCAAAATCAGGTGGCTTGAGAATAAGTGTTTTTCAGATAGAATATTGTACTTGAATCATCAATTAAGTTACAATTTAACAAAAATACGTAAAAAGGGTTAACAACCAGTTTAAGAATTACTATTTGTCTTTGATGGTAGTTATATGCATGTGTGTAGTGTTGTGAAATAAATATTATGTGTGTGTTGATTTTTTTTAAGAGATAAGTACACACGTATACAATAGATTTTTGTTAAAACGAATTATATGCATGATATCTTTTTTACTGTGAATGAGCATATTCTTTCTCACACATTATTGTACAAAAATCTGTGTTGTAGATGGATTAACTAATTTTTCTACCCAATATCATTTCTTTGTTTTACTTACTAATTTTTATGGCCATTATTCACATGCAGCTTATGAAAAATTATGACTAATTTTTGCTGGATTCTTTATTTGGGTGATCAAATTTGTAACAGAGGACCCACAGAGAAAAAAGAGTAAATATCAAGAGTGCAGAATCATTGAAGGTCAGCACCAAACAAGTTGGGTAACTCCTACTTCATACTAGAAGCCGCTATATTTTGAACAATTGTTTAAATGTAGAATGCTAACCTGTTTTTTTGTGTAAATATAATTTAGCTACCAGCTACTGTTCAGTGGTAAAAAAAACTACAATTTTTGGAGTACATCGGTAAAATAAGAGCAGTTATATTTTGAACAACTCTTAATACGTATATAGTATCAGTGTAGATGGTTAAGTTATCAACAACTACTATATGGTTTTATGTGAATACTTGGTACATGTTTTGTATAAATAGTTTCTACATATCCATATACCAACACTTAATCCCTTCTTTGCATACTGTACTTATAATTCGCTTGACACTCCCGCGGCAATGCACGGGCTAAATCTCTAGTATCCTCTAAGCATGCATGTTGGTTGGAGTCAAATGCAAAATCATAGAATCAGAAATTAAGGTAATCTATATACATTTCATTTGAAGTTTCCTTTTATAGAATTTGCTTCACCGGTGCAGATAATGTTATAACTGTTTTAATGGTTTGATGGATGATTCAGAACTGCTTCTTTGTATGCAGATTACCATATGTATTTGAGAGCACAGCTGATGTAAGTTCTCTCTCTCTCTCTCTCTCTCTCTCTGTGCATCGATCTGTTTTGTCTGTCAACTTTGCTTATAACTTACTCTCCTAGTATTCCGTATCAGGAAAATTTTACCGATCGCAAATGATAAATGTTACGAGCATGGGAAAGGCATAACCAATATTAAATCAGCTTTTCAGGTATGCATGGATTCCAGATTCAAGCCATCACTTCCGTTTAGTATGTTGTTTATCAATTTGTGATCATAACACCATCAGGCAGTGTTACTATTGTGAATGTTATGTGAGAAAGCAAAGAAAATTCTAATGGGAGAAAGCAAAGTTAAGGTGAAGATTTTGGTTTGTCCTTTAGCTTTCAATAAGTTCAATGCTAATTAGGGGTTTTTCTTCATATGTTTTCTTTCGTGTTTCAGCTTCGATTTCACTCAATTTTATGCACTTGCTGAACACCTTCTTTGTTTTACAAAATGTTTGTATATTCCCAAATAGTTATACGAAGTACCAACACTACTTAGATCACACTGATAGTACTTGGACCTGAAAAAATAATGGTCAAACAGATCTTTTCTCAAAGTCAAATCTCAGTTGTACAAATGACTGATTTTTTAAATGTGTTGTTAACATTTGATCGTTTTATAGTTTATTAAATTCCAGATTCTGAACCCTGATATGATTTTGGTGGTTGTAAATTTTTCTACTTATTAAGGCTTCAAAAAATAAATATGTGGTTTGATATGTTGAATTATCCATTATGTAGATTTGGGATTTTGGAAGTAATACTAACTGGAATTAAACAGGTTGCTTAATTGGTGGACAGATTAAGCCACTGTGAGAAAGTGAGGTGCCATGTGTTATAGGTGCTAATTTAGTTTCCTGCTTTTGCATCTTTCTAATTTTTCCTTATGCCGAGTCCTGCAACACTAACTCTGTTATCGAAGTAACGTTTACAATTACCTTGGGCAGTTCTATACTAAATTGCAGGAAAAGATACATGCAAAGGAGATGGAGAATAATTTGCAAGCCAGGTATGAGGTGGTATTCAATCGATGGTGGTCAACCGAAACCTGTGTGTGAATTATGTTCTTATTATGAATGTTGTCTGTTCTTTTACAGGAAACTCTAGAAGCTGAGATTAGAATGTTCAGGAAGAAACTGACATTTAAAGAACTCCAATGCCAATCTTCTATCAGGAGCCTCCACCTCCTAAAGCGGACCTGAAGAAGGTATATTTTTTTCTTTCAAAATCACAAATAGCATGATGTATATTATTTTGTTCATGTGCAATTTCCAGTTCTCTGGTGAATCTGATTCCACGCTTTAGTTTGGAAAACTCTTATTTTTGTCATATATAGAAAAGTGGTGGGGCGTGCAAGTACATTATTGATGGACTTCTAAATGGTGGTTAGTTTAGTTTATAAATTTGTAATGCATGTGCTCTCTAACCTTGAGCATGTCTTCATCATGATCACAGAAGGCCATGATCTTGTTGGACACATGCTGGTTGCATGTTCCCCTTATATTTCTTATTTTAGTAGGATGTGCAACTTTTAACAATTGCTTACTTGGTATACTGGTCCTAAGTTATTTTCCCATTCTTCAATATTGTACGGGTAATTTTCCTTCAGGTTCGACAGGAAGAGAGTGCATCTTTTGTCACGTATACTTCTAAGTTCATGCACCTTTTTCATTCTTTGCAAATTGAACATGTTAATCAAGCCAATCCTTCAAGTTATCAATCACTTAATCATACTCTCACAATCCTACCCCATTCAGTCTGTTGGTCGGAATGGTGGTCGTATCTGAGTTATTTTTGACAGTTACAGCTACCATGCTCCATTTGATTGGAAAGGAGGCACCGCAGGCGTATTTTGATGCTGCCAACAACTGTTTTACCAAAAATTGCACTGTGTATTACAGTTCTTACTTTGTTAGTATACCGAAAGCTTATAAAAAATCGATGTCAAGTATCTTGACTAATATGTAGTCTAAACACGCATTCCTACTACGATTAATTAAGTTGGCACTGCATTGTGATAATCTTGCTTCACTGTACTTGGCTGTTATAGTGTTATTTGACAGCATCTGCTTTATTTTGGCCTTGACGACTTTAGTGCAATTGATGCAGATACCAGCAACAAGAGCCAATCTCCCAAGCTCGGACGTAAGAAGAGCTTACTTCCTGCAGTTTCTGAAGCAAACCGTAATATCAATGGTCAGTCTAGCAGGTTTAGTCTGGATGAGAAAGTACCTCAGAACACTGCTAGAGGGCCTTCTCCTGTGTATCCAAAGAAGCCACAACGGAAGTCTCTTCCTAGACTCCCGAACTTTTGTTGCGGAGAATTGTTGGTACTGCTTGAGCAATGCTTAGTTTGTACTGTGTTTCTTTGGCAGTCAGGTGAGCAATCCTTAATTCTGATGAATTTAATTTTTTCGTTTTGAAGCTGAAATTGGCGTCTGGGAGGGAATACTGCGTCAAGATGATCTTGGAGGCCGTCCAGGGAGAGCATTTGTCAGGTCATTATTTGAGGATGTAATATTACCTATTCAGAAATTTAATTTGAAAACTAAATATCATAAGCAAACAATTATTTTAAAGTATTCGAAATTTAATTTAAAATGTGCAGAAAATTGTCTTCAGTAAAACCCAAAACCAGTACACACAAAAATAACAAACATGTTAACAAGAGAACTAACCATGCAGCAAAGTTGTTATTTCTTTATATACATTTGAGTGTAGTTTTGCCATCACTACCACCACGACCCATCAGCAACATCTGCATCACCTTCACCTTCACTCTCGTCTTTAGAATCATCAAAGATTCCGTCATCAATAACATCATCACCAACACCAACACTAGTAAACATCATCTAATTATTTCATCTTTTTGGTAAAATAAAACATCATCTAATTCATCCCACCATTTATAATATACTTCTTCCTCTGTTATCTGCACTCCTTGTAGTTCTGGGGAACTCTTCCACTCATAGCGGTTAATCTTCAACTTAGGGCATTCGTATATATTTACAGTTTTCAAGGATGGGAATTTGACAATGCAATTTCCAGAGAAGAAATCTTGCAGACTTGGTAGACATAAAAGGTTCAAACGTTGCAACTGGCAAAAAGAAATCTCACCATCATTTCCTGCATCATCTCCATCTGATGTCGTTGCCCCTATTTCTGTCATTCTTTCACAACTCCCAACGATCATTTCTCTTAGCCGCTTTAAAGTTTTGGCTATCGTATATGTTGCTAAATATTTCAAGCTGTGACAACCAACTACATTCAAAGTTGTTAAATTCTTGAAGGGAATAGCAGATGACCCTAGATCCTTCAATGCAGAACAATCCACCACTCGTAGAACTTCCAAGTTTGGAAAAACTGGGCCTGCTTCTGGGACACTAACTCTAGCTTCTTGGCATTTAATTGTAATTTTTGAATATTAATTACGTTGTGTGGGAGACATTCATACCGAAACTAGTGTGGGATACATTTGTACCTATACTTGTATAGACATCAAAGTACTCTCTCACATCTGACACATCTGACGTCTTGTTGGCAATGTGGCTTTTGGTGGTGTTGAAGGTGTAGGATGACATTTTATGACAACATGTGGGTTCATGGTTTTTGGACTGTAAAAATTTGTTAGAGATTATGTTGATGAATAAAGATATAAGAAATAGGTTGGCAATGGTGAGCTTGTTAAGTAACGTGATGACAAGAAGAATCCATTGTAAGGAATTTGATGTGTTGGTGTTGGTTCTTTGGTTCCAAATGCTTTCTCCACCCTTTGGTTTGTGATTCACGTCTAATCTACTTTGCACAAAAGTTACTATTTTTGGTTGATTGGTGGTGTGTTTTCATGGTTAGAGGATAGAGGCAGAGAGTAGTATAAATCTAGTAAAACACAATGACACACCGAATTTAAGTGGTTCACTGATTTGGCTACGTCCACTAAAGTTGCATTGGATTTGACTATGTACGAGAGATTTACAAAATACAATGAAGATGGTCTAGAGCCTTTACATAAGGTAAAAGAAATGGAAGGTGGATGGTCTGAGAAGGAGAGATCTTTCTTCTAGCTGTTGTGTTGTTGCTGGTGTGGTGTTGTTCCTCTCATACTTTTCTTTCCTCCTTTAGCCTTTATGAAGAAAGAAATGGAATCCTCAATTAAGCCTTTGATGACACATTTCAATTCTTTTGCAGCACTTAGACATCAAGCATTGAAAGCATCAGTAACTAATCATGATTATAATCATTACCATGCATGTGGACAACTATCCACAAGCCACGTCCAACTCTAAGGGATGTAGAATCCCACCTTTCCAATTTTGGGGAGTGAATCATCACCATCATTTCCTGCATCATCTCCATCTGATGTGGTCGACCCTATTTCTATCATTCTTTCACAATCCCCAACCCTCATTTTTCTTAGCCGCTTTATAAAAACATTAAATTTAACGGGTAAAATTGAATATGACAAATTCAACAGTAAAAAAAAAAAAAAAAAGTAGTCCAAAATTAAATCAACAGCTAATGCAATGCTTTGTTTCAAGAGAATAGTCAATCTAGTGATTTTTCATTATATATCGGAATCTAACTTTTTTAAGTTAAAATGTTCATAAAAATAAATTAGGATAATCTACATAATTTTTACTTTTTAAAAGGTTGCTTAATGGACATAATTGAGCTTAAATTAATTTCTTAATAATCTTTGGTTAAAAATTTAACTCAGAACGGTTGGAACAGAAAAATTGTTTTTGGGTTAAAACTTAATTTTTTGTCCCTTTATTTGGAGATGATCTTAGCATAGGTATAATATGAGACTTTTTTTTCTTTCTTTTTTTAAGATAGCTAAATCTTGCTTTGGTGTAAGATATATGAGATATGGATCCTGCTTTCAATAGTT